CAGAACTCATTGATCTCGTTCGGACGCATAAAAACTGAACATCGGACGTCCGACAGCACCAACGGCTAGTTGACTCTTCAGTTGCCTTCTATCCGTTGACAGCATTAATTGAAGAATTTTCTGGTCTCCTATAAAAAGAACAAAGTCAACCACCTCAGAACAACTTTGCACATCAAGTCTACATCAGATTGTGAGTGATTCAAGTGTTAGAATACTCCAAAGGAACATTTGTATTCTTAGCTTGTGCAATTCTCTTGTAGTTTTTCAAGTGTGACACAGCTTCTTCAATAGTGTAGCATTGTGAGGGTTTTTCGATTGTTTGTAAAACTTCCTTGCTTGACCAAGTGTGGTTTGGGGCAAGAAGGAAGTGATCCTTCCCTTGCACACAGGATATTGGTTGCAAGATTGTTCAACTTGAAGTAACCTGGTATATAAAAGTGCTGTTCAAACTCCAGTAGAGTTTGAAGCCTGGTTTGTTTCACTATTTTCGTTTACAGCTTTTCTATATAAACTGTTCTCCTCTTCATCTTATGGATACCTGTGCTTTCGTGTAATCTGATCCATTGGGTGGTCTTTGAGAAAAGAAAGGTAGGCTTTGAAGAAAAGTGACCTATATCTTAGCTGGTTTTTTTGAAAACCTAATTCACCCCCCCTCTTAGGTTGTCTTCGATCCTTACAAACAACATGCTGATATTTTTTCCTGCCTATAAGTTGACATGTAATTGGTCTTTTGGAGGTGATAATCTAATGAAAATAGAGGGATATTTTCTTGAGAATTAGCAATCAGTAGCTACTTCAAGTTTGTCTGTTTCTAAAACCAATCATAACTACTTCTCCATCTCTTCGGTATTTATGATATCAATATTTTTACCTTTCGGGATTTTGATTGCATGTATCCTATTAAAAATATGGAGTTTCATTCTAATCACCACGTTGAGATATGTAACCTATGTCAGGATGCATGTCATTTGGGTCAATTTAGGTAGTGATGAACTACCATATATTGGTTTTGATGTCATTTGGATAGATTTTGCTATGTCACTTCCCCTGCTATACTGGGATTTGAATTTGCTGCCTTCACTGGAGCGTTATGGCTTTCAACCCTACTTTTACAGCAAAAAGGAAATTGTGTATTCAAAAATAGAAAGAAAGGAAAAGTTAGAGAAATTAACTGGGAATTGGCTTTATTAGTGAAAAATTTTGAGTTTCAGTTAAGGTGATTCTCAATATGTTCTTCCCAGCAACTACAAAACTTTTTCTACCAACAATGTACTAACCCAGTGGTTCACCTTTTGGTTTCTTGTGACGGGGTGAGAACGCTCTTGCTTGCATGGTGCTAGATAATTATCCCATTTACCAAGTCTTTATTGTCTCCAAATGAGGTCAGAATCGTTGGAGCTCATAGTAAACTTTCGTAATACGACCTGAGAACCTAAATTGTATTCCACCCTGTTTCTTTAACAAATGCTCTCTCTTCCTCTCTCTCTCTCTCTCTCTATATATATATATATATATATCAGACACAAACACTATACCCTTTTTTTTTTATTTCCTTCCATAGTTTCCTTTTTTCTGTTTTTAAATAGACTAATAGGTCATCTACATTGTTTTCTCAACACCATCAAATGTTCATTAACTTTGGAAGTATTGTATATAAAGAACTTTATATAAAGTGGGAATGCTAGTTGAATTGTTGCTGGTCTTTCGTCCTCCTACTCGTGTGCAAATCACGTGGCTGTGCAAATCCTGTTGCTGGTCCTAAGTGGGTTGCGGCCTTTTTGCTCCTCCGTCATCATGCACTGTCATTTTTCACATTCCTTGCACCATCTATCTTCTATTTTTTTCCCCTGAATTCAGATTGGTCACTATCCATTATTTGCTTCTTTTTATATACCCATGCTGTTTTTTTTTCCGCTCCTTCTTTGTTTTTATATTATATTATATTATATATTACATACCTATCTTCTATTTAGTCTATATTTTTTATATTAGTTATAAATTCTTTTGTATATATTATTTTGCTATTCAGTATTTGCTTCTTCTTTATATAGTACCCATGCTTTTTTTCCTCTCCTCCTTTAAAATAAATCTTTAGTATATTTTTAATATACTATTTTTTTTATCCCGTATTTAATATTATTTATTCTATTGTGGGTACTGCCTGACTATCTTTTTCCCCTTTGGCATAATATTTTTTGCTTTATTTTCATTTTCCAGTTTTTTTTTATATATTTTCTTATATGATATATATCTTATCTATATTGTAATGAAAGTATTCTTAATCATAATAATCATAGTACTTATTATTATAAGGCTAATACTAATGATAGATTAGTATAATATGTTATCTATATTGTGATGAAAATATTATTAATCATAATAATAATAGTACTTATTATTATAAGCCTAATACTAATGATAGATTAGTATAATGAAAACAAAACATTAATAATCGAGCCAATATAAGTAGACACTTTGCCTGTTTCTTCTATTGGTCGGCGGAGTCACCTCTCAGCATACTCAGCCTACAATCCATTAATTTTTGGCGTCTCCATGCAAGATTTGCACCTCTCTAGACATGCTTTCCCGGGTTCTCATGCATGCAAGAGAATCCAGGTAATCATTTGAGTTTCTTTCCCTTGCATTTCAGCCTGCTTTCCTTCTTCTTTTGCTTCGTTTTATGCATTGCCTCCGCTTCTCGAGCTTTTCCTTTCCTCTGTTTCCTTGTGCGTCTTTCTTCAATCAGTGTTATTATTGTTTTCCTGCTGTTTGTTATTACATCTACTGTAAGTGCTGCTCCAATTTCGCTATCCCTATTCTTGTAATACTCTTTGTATTTTTTCCCCCATATTCTTCTACTTATCATGCTTACTGCTTTGTTCTACCTGACGATGCTATTATTATTCATCCTGCATTTTTAATTGTTTTACGATTCTGTTTGTTCTATCGTTTTCATTTTCATTCCATTGTTGTCTCTTGTTGCTTCAGTTTTCATTTTTACTTTCACTTCTATCCAGTTTTTTTTTTGCCTCTGTTCCTTTTTGTCGGCTTTCATGCTGAAACATTGCCTCTGTTCTATATGTTTCGTATGCTTTCATGGTCATTTTCGTTTTCATGCTTTTATTGTTTCTACACTTTGTAGTTTTCTGACATTTATTGCTATTTTTCCTGGCCCTCTTGATTTCCTCCGGGTTCTGCTTGCTACAAGTTGCTACTTATTTTCCTTGCTTCAGCAAAAGGTACTTAACTATCGTTTTCATTTTTATTCCATTGTTGTCTCTTGTTGCTTCAGTTTTCATTTTTACTTTCACTTCTACCCAGTTTTTTTGTTGCCTCTATTCCTTTTTGTCGCCTTTCATGCTGAAACATTGCCTCTGTTCTATATGTTTCGTATGCTTTCTTTGTCATCTTCGTTTTCATGCTTTTATTTTTTCTACACTTTGTAGTTTTCTGACATTTATTGCTATTTTTCCTGGCCCTCTTGATTTCCTGCAGGTTCTGCTAGCTACAAGTTGCTACTTATTTTCCTTGCTTCAGCAAAAGGTACTTAACACTTTTTTATTGTAATTGAGGCGTTATGTCTACTGATCCAACTCTGTTCTTCTCCTTTTATCAAACAATGATTAGCTACTTTGTTCTCCGTTTTATGTATATGCCACGTTATCTTCTTCTGCTTTTACTTCTTGTCTGATGTCCCTACTTTGCGGTTGGAGATGCTTGTGAGCCGTTTATGTAGTTCTCTTGCAAGTCTCGTATCATACCATATCATGGATCGAAATGCCAAATGCCGGAAACGCTATGCCGAGATGCCCTGAGAAAGGAAGGAAGAACTTTTTCTATACGTGTTGTGTAAATATATTAATTGTAATTAATGTTCTTTAATTCTATTAATCACAGCAAATTATTTTGCCTACAAATAGTTATGTGTTCGCTTTATTTGGCTACAAATTTTTTTTTTATCTATTTCACTAAGGGTGGGATAAATAATTAAGTTTATTATATTCTACCTTAATTATCTCCTTTTTTGTTAATGCCAAATTCTCCATATCGTTAATTTATAATTGCAATCCGCTGCTTACCAAATTTCATGGTACATGGCAAACAAATAATTTCTACTAACCTTTGGATTCTTGATTCGGATAGCGGTGTCATTTGAAGTAATGGTTAGTTTATCCTTTTTTTCCATCTTTATAATTATCTCCCCTACACCACATAATTTATACACATCATACTGCAAATATCAATTATACTACTTTATTAAATTCATACACTATAATGCTCATTGTGGGCATTACATTTGCGCACGGCATATTTCTGCTAGTGACCAAATATTTGTGGCATGAAACCTTATTGCAGGTTCTTCTGTTGAGCACGCTAGTGTACTTTGGCCCCACGACCACAAAACTTTTTGGTAAGTCCGTTTATTTGGTAGTATTTGGTAATTATCCATGCACTTTCATGCACGTCGACAAACTGACAAATTTGTACTGCCTACTTAAATGAAAATTAAGGTTGTACTGGAATTTATTTCATTCCTTTTAATTGATTTTTTTTTTGAGGTTCAATACATCATTTCCCTTGATTTTTCATCCATCTCCGTTTTTATCAAAATCAACTCAAAAGATGAATAAAAGAAATCCTAATCCCCTTGTCTTAACTCTTTTCCCCTTTAAGCGTATTAAAACTGCATCCTCACGCTTGCTGACTTTAAGTTGCACCTTTTTTTTTTGGTTTGGGGGCATAGTTTTGGATAAAATGATTAAGGTTAAGGCTATCCTTAACAAGTTTAAGAGTTAGGGAACGCTTTAAGTAGTTTAAATACTAAACTGCAAGTATGCAAAATCCAAGTTGTCATTCAAAATAATTTCGCTAAAGACATTAGATTAGACACATAAATGAAATTTAATTCAAGTATAGTACTATTAGATTACTGTGTAAGCGAAAATGATTGCATTTTAATTAATTATTATTACTTGCTTATGTATACATTTAGTGATGTGATGGAAACTTATCAAAAGATGATGAATTCCTTGGCATACCAACTCTTGCTCCTGATGTTGAAGTGGCTAGAAGTCTCTGAAGATGAACTGAACTGGAAACTATCAATGTCCCAAGATGCATTGCTACTCAATTCCTTTCCACCCTGCCCAGATCCCAAAAGTACCATTGGTTTAGCCCCTCACACAGATTCATTGCTCATTACCGTTCTTCATCAAAGTCATGAGGGTTTGCAGATTTTTCGCGACGGATTCAGATGGGTGACAGTTTCACCCATTGAAGGAGCTCTTGTGGTCAATCTTGGTAATCTTATGGATATATTGTCTAATGGCAAGTTCTCTGGCATTCTGCATCGTGCTTTTGTCAACCAGATTAGGCACATGATTTCTGTTGCCTACTTCTGCTATCCTCCAATTGATTCCCAGGTTGCACCATTTGCTAAGTCTGAATGTCCCATTTATAGTTCTTTAACAGTGAAGGAATATCTTGAAATCAGGGCCAAGCATATGGAGGATGCACTTTCTGTGATCAGAATAAAATGATATCATATACCCAATCCTGAAACATATGTAATCTGTTTTATTCGTTTGGTAAAAAACCTAGTGAACTCCTGATAGCTTTCTGCCATGCTAGATGATCCTAGTAAACAGTGGCGGAGTCAGGACCTCACTGAGTTTTTAACTCATTCCTTTAGTTTTTGTTTTCCTTACAGGGGATACAAGCGAGGGTGTGAGACTGGTACAGGCTAGCATAGTCTAGTTTTTGAATTTTTGCGATTGTACTCGCGCTAGTGCTCGGTTGGGATTGAATGTATCTGGAATTCACAACTTTTGTTATATTTGGGATTGTATGAATGTTTGGGATAGATATGAATGTAAGTACACGTTCCAAGTTTGGAAACTGTTATTTCACTTATTCTTGAGGTTATATCTTATTTTACTTGTTAAGAGTGAACGAGTCCTGGCGAGAGTTGAGCAGGCGGTCCGCAAAACCCTGTGGTACGCCCTAGGGGGAGGTGGGGTCGTCACAGGAAGAATGTTTCAGTTATATATTTGGACGATATAATGCACATGGAGAATTAAACCAAAAAGGGTTACTAATTTTGCTGGATAATATGAAGAAAAATACTAGTACTATTACTAGCTAGTTGTATTAACTATGTTAGGAAGGAAAAATTAATTAAAAGAAAAGGTTTTGAATCTCACTGCTAGTGCATGTGTGTTTAGCTGTACCAAAATATCTCTATCATATATATATAACAATATTCAGTTTTAATATTAGTAGGTTACTGAGTTAGCTATTCTAGCCTAATGCCAAATTGACAATCAATCTATCTTTTCACCATGTGGACATCTTTTGAGTTCCTATTTTTTATTTTTTATTCTGCTTCTATTTTTTTTATAACAGCAAATTCCCTTCCTTTTACACTTTCTTATTTATAGTGACCTTCAATCAATTTATTAGTTCTGCTTTATGTACATTCGTATTAATTATGTCTTACAAAATCTTTTTAGCAATCAATTTATACTTTTCTTATATATATATATGTGTGTGTGTGTGTTTCTTTCCATATATGTTTTGTATTATGATAATTTGTCTTGATTATATGTTAAAAGTTACTACTACTAAAATTTGGATAATCACGCCTTATGACACTTATTTCTTTCTTAAGGAAATTATTGCTCTTGCTCCAATATATGCATCGGTCTAATAGACTATATATTGGTCTCAAAATTAATTTTAGATTCAATTTTTATTATGTTCTGTTCACCATTAATTTGTATTTTTATTTTTTTTATAGCAAGGGAGGATGGAATTTAAGAAGTAGAGAGAGGGAAGGGAGATTAAAAGTCAAAATCTCTAAATTCTAAAGTATCAACCTCAACATCTAGACCAAGGCCTCCTCGACCGTCATTAATTTGGTTAATTACCTTTACTTTATATTAAATGTTTACAAAAATTTGTTTAGTGCTCCCATCTAATTCTCATTTTGATTCATATTTATATTACATATCGTTTTCAAAATTTGGCTCATTTTAAGTTTTACATATAGTATATCATTTTTTCCACTCTCAAACTACTTTTGAATAGTTAATTGAATCAATAGTTCATCTATATAAATAAACATTTGAATTTTCAAAATTTTTCTTACAATATTTAATTGTGTTGCTGAATGCAAAATGATATTCTAAGCCTAAATTTTTGCATTAATTAGTAAATCTGAAACTTAAATGAAGAATTTGATTCTAAAATGTTAGTATCTTATCTGAATTCAGCACAACATTCAATCTGAGCTCTTACAGATTATAAACCACAACTAAAAGTTTTTCACCAAATCCTCCAAATGAAAAAGAAGAGTTTTGCCAATTATTCGCTTTCTAAAACTCTAGAAGATAAAATTAGTCTAAAGAAAGATAATATATTCAAAAATACAACTTCATGTACCCTTAAACCTATAGTGAAAGATGATTAACAAATGAAAGGAGTCTGGAAAATTGAATATTTAGAAAACACATTCAAAACTAAAAAACAACTTCTTCCAAAAAAAAAAAGGAAGTCTAATACCTAGATTTTCTAACTCGTTGTTAAACTTAATTTTCACCAATGTGATTATGCGAATGCATATACTCACATTCGCTGTATCCTATAACAGATTAATTACCTAGATTTTCTCATAATTCACCAAAGATTTTAGACAATATTTTATCGTAATTCTACTCTTGTTTGTTAGGCAAATGAAGAAACAAAATCAATTACCTAGATTTTCTAACTCGTTGTTAAACTTAATTTTCACCTATGTCATTATGTGAAGGCATATACTCACATTCATTTGTATCCGATAATAGATTAATTACCTGGATTTTCTCATAATCCACCAAAGTTTTTAGACAATATTTTATCGTAATTCTACTCTTGTTTGTTAGGCAAATGAAGAAAACAAAATCAATTACCTAGATTTTCTAACTCGTTGTTAAACTTAATTTTCACCTATGTGATTATGCGAATGCATATACTCACATTCATTGTATCCTATAGCAGATTAATTACCTGGATTTTCTCATAACTCACCAAAGATTTTAGATAATATTTTATCGTAATTCTACTCTTGTTTGCTAGGCAAATGAAGAAAACAAAATCAATTACCTAGATTTTCTAACTCGTTGTTAAACTTAATTTTCACCCATGTGATTATGTGTAGACATATACGCACATTCATTGTGTCCTATAACAGATTAATTTCCTGAATTTTCTCATAATCCACCAAAGATTTTAGACAATATTTTATCGTAATTCTACTCTTGTTTGCTAGGCAAATGAAGAAAACAAAATCAGGTACCTAGATTTTCTAACTCGTTGTTAAACTTAGTTTTCACCTATGTGATTATGCGAATGCATATACTCACATTCACTGTTTCCTATAACAGATTAATTACCTGGATTTTCTCATAATTCACCAAAGATTTTAGACAATATTTTATCGTAATTCTACTCTTGTTTGTTAGGCAAATGAAGAAACAAAATCAATTACCTAGATTTTCTAACTCGTTGTTAAACTTAATTTTCACCTATGTCATTATGTGAAGGCATATATATACTCACATTCATTTGTATCCGAAAACAGATTAATTACCTGGATTTTCTCATAATCCACCAAAGATTTTACACAATATTTTATCGTAATTATACTCTTGTTTGTTAGGCAAATGAAGAAAACAAAATCAATTACCTAGATTTTCTAACTCGTTGTTAACTTAATTTTCACCTATGTGATTATGCGAATGCATATACTCACATTCATTGTATCCTATAGCAGATTAATTACCTGGATTTTCTCATAACTCACCAAAGATTTTAGATAATATTTTATCGTAATTCTACTCTTGTTTGTTAGGCAAATAAAGAAACAAAATCAATTACCTAAATTTTCTAACTCGTTGTTAAACTTAATTTTCACCTATGTGATTTTGTGCAGGCATATACTCACATTCATTGTATCCTATAACAGATTAATTACCTGGATTTTCTCATAATCCACGAAAGATTTTAGACAATATTTTATAGTAATTCTACTCTTATGTGTTAGGCAAATGAAGAAAACAAAATCAAGTACCTTGATGTTCTTACTCGTTGTTAAACTTAATTTTCACCTATGTGATTATGCGAATGCATATACTCACATTCACTGTATCCTATAACAGATTAATTACCTGGATTTTCTCATAATTCACCAAAGATTTTAGACAATATTTTATCGTAATTCTACTCTTGTTTGTTAGGTAAATGAAGAAACAAAATCAATTACCTAGATTTTCTAACTCGTTGTTAAACTTAATTTTCACCTATGTGATTATGTGAAGGCATATACTCACATTCATTGTATCCTATAACAGATTAATTACTTGGATTTTCTCATAATCCACGAAAGATTTTATACAATATTTTATCGTAATTCTACTCTTGTTTGCTAGGCAAATGAAGAAAACAAAATCAAGTACCTAGATTTTCTAACTTGTTGTTAAACTTAATTTTCACCTATGTCATTATGTGAAGGCATATACTCACATTCATTGTATCCTATAATAGAATCATTACCTGGATTTTCTCAAAATCCACCAAAGATTTTAGACAATATTTTATCGTAATTCTACTCTTGTTTGTTAGGCAAATGAAGAAACAAAATCAATTGCCTAGATTTTCTAACTCGTTGTTAAACTTAATTTTCACCTATGTGATTATGTGAAGGCATATACTCACATTCATTGTGTCCTATAACAGATTAATTTTCTGAATTTTCTCATAATCCACCAAAGATTTTAGACAATATTTTATCGTAATTCTACTCTTGTTTGTTGGGCAAATGAAGAAAACAAAATCAATTACCTAGATTTTCTAACTCGTTAAACTTAATTTTCACCTATGTGATTATGTGAAGGCATATACTCACATTCATTGTATCCTATAACAGAATCATTACCTAGATTTTCTCAAAATCCACCCAAGATTTTAGACAATATTTTATGGTAATTCTACTCTTGTTTGTTAGGCAAATGAAGAAACAAAATCAATTACCTAGATTTTCTAACTCGTTGTTAAACTTAATTTTCACCTTTGTGATTATGTGAAGGCATATACTCACATTCATTTGTATCCTATAACAGATTAATTACCTGGATTTTCTCATAATCCACCAAAGATTTTAGACAATATTTTATCGTAATTCTACTCTTGTTTGTTAGGCAAAAGAGGAAAACAAAATCAATTACCTAGATTTTCTAACTCGTTGTTAAACTTAATTTTCACCTATGTGATTATACGAATGCATATACTCACATTCATTGTATCCTATAGCCATTATACTGTTAAAAAAAATGAAATTCCCATGTCAGTTTCACACTAAAAGACAACAATAAGTCCAATACAGCCACCGAAGGCCACGTGTTTTTTAAATATAATTATTAATCAAATATGTTTATTTCTTAAAGGAAATTATTGATCAAATGGTTCATTTCTGTTCTGTCTTTGCCCCTGTAACTGACTTGGT